GATGGGGCAGAGTGTACCTCAGCAAGTTTGCAGATGACGGAAAACTGCAAGGGGTGGCTGATACACCAGAGGGTCGTGCCGTGATCCAGAGGGACCTCAACAAGCTGGAGAAATAGGCCGACAGAGACCTCATAAAGTTCAACAAGGAAAAGAGCAAAGTCCTGCACCTGGGGACCCCCCCGCCTTGCACCAGTATGTACTAGGGGCCACCCACCTGGAAAGTAGCCTGGCAAAAAAGGACTGGAGGGTCCTAGTGAGCACCAGGTTGACCATGAGCCAGCAACGTGCCCTTGCTGCACAGAAGGCGAGTGGTATCCTGGGCTGCATTAGGTAAAGTATTGCCAGCAGGTTGAAGGAGGTGATCCTTTCCCTCAGCTAAGCACTGGTGAGGCCATACCTGGAGTGCTGGGTCCAGTTCTGGGCTCTGCACTACAAGAGAGAAACACTGGAGAAAGTTGAATGAAGAGCCATGAAGATGATGAAGGAACTGGAGCAGCTCTCATATAAGGAAAGACTGAGAGAGCTGAGGCTGTTTAGCCTGGAGAACAGAAAGCTCAGGGGAATCTTATTAATGTACATAAATACCTGAAGGGAGTGTGCAATAAGGACAGCGCCAGGCTCTTGTCAGCGGTGTCCAGTGCCACGACAAGAGGCAACGGGCACAGACTGAAACACAGGAAGTTCCCTCTGAACACAAGGGAACACTTCTTCACTGTGAAAGTGATAGAGCACTGGCACGGGTTGCCCAGGGAGGTTGTGGAGTCTCCGTCCTTAGAGATATTAAAAAAAAGTCTGGACACGGTCCTGGCAAACAGGGTCTAGGTGGCCCTGCTTGAGCACGGGGGTTGGACCTGATGACCTCCAGAGGTCCCTTCCCACCTCAGCCATTCCGCAATTCTGTGTTTGTGCAACTTGACAGCAGAAAATGGCAATGGTCTCACTCACTGGCTTTGGTCAGAAGAGTCGCGCTGGGAGCAACAGCAATCTGGACAGCGCGCATGTGCATTGGAGGGCTCCGAAGAACAGGACATGGGTTGAAGACGGGTCCCAGGAGGTGATATCCAGTGCCGGCTACCGGGGCTGAAAAGCGCCTTGGCCAAACGTGCGAGGATGGGTGTGGTGCCTGGGGTCTCTGTGGGGACGAGGAGGGGGGGTGTCTGTGGGGAAGGGCCCAGAGCAGCATCGCCTCCTGTCCGGGCTGGGTCCCAGCACTTGGGCCGTCCCTGACCTGGCCTGACGGCTCAGCCCCACCCATTGCCGGGGCTCAACAGGGTGACGGTGGGGGGAGGCCAGGCCCGGGGCTGCCCCCTCCCCCCATCGGGGCCACCGCTGGCGACGAAACCGGCCATTTCCAGCCTCGAAACCGGCCATTTCCAGCCTCGAAACCGGCCATTTCCAGCTCAAACCCGGCCGAGCAGGAAGCAGTCCCTCACTGCCTCCAGTTACTTCCGGCACCCGCCGGAAGCTTCGCCGCCACTCACTCGCTGCGCCATTTGCGGCCGCCCGGCGGCGCCGCGCTCCACTTCCTCCCTCTCCCGGAAGTAGCCGGGTCGGAAGTGGCCGCCGATTGGTGATGCTGTACGGTCTATGG